TTTGCAAAGACAGTTTAGATTTGATGATCACATCTTGGCCATATGTTGTACAGCAACTTTGGATGCTTGGGACAGGGATGAAGAATCAGGAAAGAGGACTGATTCATTACTAAAATTATACAAGGCTCCAAAAACCCTTCACTGATTTTTTTAAAACAAAGATTGACTTTAGCTGTGTATAAAATGTTATCGGACTAAGAAGCTAGACAAATATAAGTTGAATCCTTGGCTTTTAATAATGATAATTCAGAATGCAAAAGGATGATTAGGCCTTTAAAGGCAAGATCAGACCCCATAGATGAATGGATCTGAAATATAGTTGATATTGGATCTCACACTTATGATGATACTTGGATAGAAGTGATTTCTAAAAATTTTAAGAAAGTTCAAAAGGTCAGATGTTTTAATGTGGTAAATAAGGTCATCTGAAAAGGCAAGGCATTCCTAGAAACAATGCTTTTTCAAGACATGATCCAAACAGAAGACCTGACCTTCTGAAATATGCAGAAGGTACAGCAAAGGCCAACATTGGACCAATTAATGCAGATCAACAAGTGACAGACAAGATAATCCTTTGCCATTGGGAAACACCTTAGGGACCTCTTACAGGCGCCAATCTCAAATTTATTTCAAACATTCCCTGTCAGTATTGGTGAAACTCATCCACAGAGCAATTGAAAAACTTAATGCTTCTTTAAATGTTCAAAGAACAAAGCTAAAAACACAAGTGAATGACATTGTAATTATAGACATAGGTTTGGATGTAACAATAATTTCTCCAACATCTTGGCATCCAGAATGGCTTCTTCAGAAGGTAAATATTCAGTTTCCAGGTGTTGGAACTTTACCTCTGGTAAAAGAATTTAAAAAAAAGAACAAGGTGGGCCAAACGTATAGGGCCAGTAGGATAGGTAGGGAAATTAAAGCCATATGTGACCAATAGCAATGAATTTATGGAGGTGTGACTTGTTACAACAATGGTAAACCCAGATTAGCATTCCTCAATCTCAGAAACAAACCATAAAATAAAGAATGCCTCTGAGAGAAATATAAAAAAGATATTATCAAGAAGAGTCACTGACTGTTCAGATTGTGCATAAGCAAGACACAACAGCTGCTGGTCTTTCAAAGTTACCAACTTCCCTACATTTAAAATGATTAACTGAAAATCCCATCTGGGTGGAACCTTTAACATAAGAAAAATTACAGACATTAGAACAGCTGGTACAGGAGCAGCCAAATGATCAACATACTGAAGAAGCAATCAGTCCTTGGCAGGTCGCAGAATTATACAGTGAGAGTTCAGAGGTCAACCCACCAGATGCACATCTGATGGAGATAACCTTATTTTGTAAGGCGATAAGGAATGCTACCTTTTGAATGTATTAACTGTCCTCCTTGCAGATTTCTTGTGTGAAGCCATAGTTCTTTGTAACATGAGGGCCTGCTTTGTTGAGGTTTCTGTCCTACCCAGTTCCCACACCCAGTAAATCCCAAAGAAAATCACACCGAGGTCTCCATAAGTTATAAACTGATTGGCCCATTAGCTCAGGCTTCTTGTAACTCTTATAACTTATATTAACCCATTATTCTTATCTAAGTTAGCCACATGGCTAAGTATCTTTTTCAGCAGGGCAGGTTACATCCTGCTTCTTCAGTGTCTGGAGAGGACTGGGGAGGAATGGACTTCCTTCTTCTCAGAATACTCCTCATTGCCCCACCTCTACTTCCTGTCTGGTTGTCCCGCCTATACTTCCTGCCTGGCTACTGCCCAATCAGCATTTATTTAAAACATAAGTGACAGAATATAGAATTGTCCCACACCAGTTCTTTCCCTTACATTACAGCTTGGAGATTTTTCCGACAGAACTACAATGTGCTAATTGTTTATTGGGCACAATTTCCCTTAAGCATTGGTATATTGGATGACTCCCTCCAGCGATGTGAGATTCTGGTGAAGTAATCACACAGCAAAAACTTTTGTTCTCACAACCAGATCCATGTTCCAGTTTCCCCAATATAAACTTAGAAGTCTGCCCCTCTGCTATTATCTCCTTCGGCAGGCAGTTGGTCAGTATTAATGTCCAGACAATGAGATCTCAACTGAGACATTCACATACACCCAAGGACATTTCAGACATGTATGTCCGAAATGGCTGATGTTTAGCCCTCAGAGAAGACAGGAAGAATGCTTGCCTTGGATTCACTTTCTACCAATATAGAAAGTGCTATCCCAATTAACGCTGTTATAATCCTAAACAGGCTACTAATGCTCTGTACTTAATGTTTTCACCTCAGTTTATTGATACAAGATCTTAGCTTAGAAGATTAACCATTTTTCTCTTAACCTTATGAGATAACAGAAACAAGGTATTAACCATTTGCCCAACTCTGAACAAACACAATGCTTTTTTCACAGACACCACAGGAACAAAGCCATAGTTTATTTTAGTCCAGACAGCTGGAAAGAGTCATGGTCCTGATTTTTTGTTATGTTACTAAAAGTCCTCCTCCTTGTTCTATCACTTAGGTGTAAATGTAATTCTTATATTTGACTCCTCCCCCCCGCACCAGCCTGCTAAACATTTGGCAGAAATGCTGATGCAGATCAAATGCAGCAGTATTCCCCTGCTTGTTTATGTAGTTGTCTAATTACCAGATACTCCATCTGCCCCCTGGGAAAAAGCTGCAAACTGAGTAAAAGATGATTCCTGTCTTGTTCATGGTTTCTACTGATAACATTTTAGCTCTTTGCTTAGTCACTTAAAAATGTAACAAAACACACAAATTCCCCTCCTAAGTTCCTCTAATGATTTAATTTCCCTCTCTTAATTAACTGCCTCCCCCCTTAAGAGTTCCACAAAGTCTTTCACAAACCATTCCCACTTTGAATCATAAAGCTGACAGTTACAGTTATATAATTACAGTTTGTGTACTTATTATCTGCTTTTATGACCCTGAAAAAATGCAAGTCCTGTAACCTTGTTATTGCCAGAGAATTGATGATTGTGTCTTTATGTGTACATAAACTAGAAAATTTGGAGGAGAAAAAACGGACAATAAAAATTATGAGAAGAACTGTGTGAGCTGATTCATTTTCTTTCACCCACACTCAGATCTTGTAGTTATTTCCCTCATGGGCTGTAGCATCTTGACTAGACCCTGAAGGGGCCTAAGGGGCTGCTACCCAAAAGACTCTGATAGGAATTCTTCTGTATTTGTCATTAAAAACAAAGAATGGTAACAGATCTAAGAAATATTAATAAGGTGATCCAGTCAGTGGGCACATTATAGAGAATTTCCTTGCATTCCCTTGCCTTCTTTATTACCCAAAGGATAATCTATTATAGCAATTGACTTAAAAGACTGCTTTTTTACTATACCTTTACAAAAAACAGGACTGAGAAAAATGTGCCTTCACAGTGCCTATTTATAATTCCCAGGCTGTTAAAAGGTATCAGTGGAAAGTTCTTCAAGGGATATTAAACATCTCCATCCTGTATCAATATTTTGTACAACAGCCATTGGAAATAATTCATGAACAATTTTATCAATCTATAATTTATCATTATATGGATATCTTACTAGCTGATTCAAATGCAAATACTTTTATGTTTAGATTTCGTCTAAACATAATGTTTAAATGTTGAAAATTTTGTCTTGCTTGGGATTATAAACTGCTCCTAATAAATACAAGGAGGAGATTCTATTAATTACCTAGAACAAAAGATAGGTTTGCAAAAAATTCAAATAGAGGATTGGGAGGACAAAGATCATATAGAGAGACAAAGGAAGTAGTATAGAGAGGTTTAGAAAGATATGCAGGCCCATTTTGGATAGGGGAAGAAGAGACAGTGGAGGTCACTGTTGCTCCTCCACTATAGTGATATTTTATATATGTTTTATAAATGCAGCTAGTCTGAAGACCAGAAGATAAAACTAAGTCATTAGAGATCAGGCAGTAGTGTAATACACCTTTAATCCCAGGATGTGGGAGACAGAGGCAGATGGATCTCTGATGGAGGAGGGTCATCCATCTGTGTTACTTTCATTGGTTAATAAAGAAACTGCCTTGGCTTTTTGATAGGGCAGGATTTAGATAGGTGGAGTAGACTGAACAGAATGCTGGGAGGAAGAAGGCAGTGAGTCAGACGCGATGAAGCTCCAGCCCAAGATGGACGTGTGTTAGAATCTTCCCAGTAAGCCACAACCCCGTGGTGCTACACAGATTATTAGAAATGGGTTAATCAAGATGTGAGAGTTAGCCAGTAAGAGGCTAGAGCTAATGGGCCAGGCAGGGTTTAAATGAATACAGTTTCCATGTAATTATTTCGGGTGAAGCTAGCTGTGCGGGAGCCAGGCGGGACGAAAAGCAGGCCTGTTCGCCTCATCACTACAAATCTCTGTGAGTTCAAGGTCACTCTGGGCTGCACAAGATCAGTGCAGAAACAGATCCAGATGGTGGTGCCTCACACCTTTAATCCTAGCACTAAAGAGGAATATAAATTGGGAGGAGATAGGAACTAGCTCTCTTTCAGTGTGAGGGTTTCTTAGAGGTAAGAGCTCTCTAGTGGCTTGGCTGCTTTGCTTTTCTGATTCTTCAGGTTGAACCCCAATATCTGTCTCTGGGCTTTTATTATTTGTGCTATATTTGGCACCCAATGCTTTGGGTATGAATTCATGAAAAAGTCATTTGCCTGAGGCTTCTTAGCCATGGGCACAGGGTAGAGCTGCACATGGTGCTCCCATCCCACCTGGTCAGACTTTCTTTTCTTTTATCCCCAAGCTTTGGGAAAATGTTTGGGATTTTCCTTTTATAACCTCTCTGAAACAGTGTCTAGATGCTATATCCAAACTCCAGAGGCACCTGGGTTCCAAACTGGCTGGTTCTGCCTTTAGGTAGCCACCCCCTCCACCGGCCACATGTGCTTTTTCCCTGAGCAAAATCCCCTGTGTGTTTTTCAGACAGACATCTCTCTCCCCCTCTCTCTTTTCCACAGTTGCAGGCTCTCCTTGAATCCCCTTCTTGGGCTGCTGACAAACTAGGTAGCTGCCTTGAAATCCAGAGAGGCTTTTACTGTTCTATGCAGCAGCAATCAGCCTCACAGCTTCATCAACATCATCAGTAGATTTGGTAAGACAATTGGGAATTCATAAAAGCATGAATTACATAAAAGAGAGTTTTTTTCCCACAGTGACAAATGGGAAAAACAATTATAATTGAGGAATTTGAATCTCTGTATAATATGCTAGACAGTTTGAACATGGAACAATTAATTGAGAGGATATCTAATTTAGATGGGATTTATGGAATGTTAATTATATTATCAGAATTATCATTATTGTCTTATCACTAAAAAAGTTGGTTTCGCTAAGTGCTAAGAAATAGGCCTTAGAACAAACTAATAAAACAGATCACAGAGATATTCAAATCCAGACAGAAAAAATTAATGGAGAGCCAAATTCAGCATTGCATTATAAGAATAGAGAGGAACAGTCAAAGATTTTCAGAAAACCAACCTTAATATATCCAGTAACCTTAAAGGAATTGCCAAATGGCAGAGTCTCTGTTACAGCTAACTAGACTCCTGTGACATTTTAGACTTAAGGACATTAAAGGAAGCAACAGTCTCATATGGCATGCATTCACCTATTGTTAAGCAAATGTTAAACTTGTGGTCAGTTTATAGTAGAATTATTCCTAATGACTGGGTAGATTTGGGTTAGAGGTGTTTTAGAGCCCAGTCCACAATTATAATTGAGTACCTGGTTCAGAGAAGAGGCTAAGATCACTGTACAATGAAGTAAAATGATTGAGACTGTTGGATTTCTACCAGATGATATAGAACTGACTTCATTATTCATTCAGTTATGAATTATAATCAGGAACAGGAATCATCTCACATACATAACACACATCCAATCACATACAGGTCTGCTAGGTCCTCTAGCACAATGTATGACAGAAATCAATTAATTAGTGATTGGAAATGTGCTGAAAGTCTCAGAATTTCACTAAAAACAATATGTCAATAGTGAAGGCTTTTTTGAAAAAAAAAAAGACTTTCCCATCACATGGCAACAGCCAAGGAAATTTCTAATTTGTTCTTTATACAACCAAACACCACTACCTGCAGGAAGTAACCCAAAGGGTACTCAAAGAAATGAAATCTAAATCTGGCAGATGGATGTGTTCCATTTCGTAGAATTCGGAAAACTAAAATATGTATATCACACCATTGATACCTATTCAGATTTTCAATGGGCAACTGCGTTGAGTTAAGAAAAGGCTGATTCAGTAATCACACTTTTGCTAGACATTATGGCCATTGTGCGTATGTAAGCAGAGACTGTTCTTTCATTTTCTGACTATCCAGACCCAAATAATCACACAACAACTATAGTAATTACAACACTGTTTGGCCAATGCCTTAGGCATATTTCTAGTTAGTGCTTACATTTTAAATGAACCCATTTCTATTATTCTGTATATCCCCAGAAGGATATATTATCTGAGTAAATAGGAAGTACATTGTAAGCAACTTCCAAAACTCTAGAATCAACAGAGACTTTTCACTGCCTGGACAGTCAACCCAAGTTCTTCTGTAACGTTGGAGCATCCCTCTTCAGCCTACAGGCCCATACTATCTGGCAGATTTTTCCATGAAGCAGAAAATTTGAAAAACTGTTTTGCCTATATGGGCAGATTGTCAGTCACTTTCTTCTGTGACCTACAGAATGTCTGGCAAACTCACGTAGCAGGAACACTGAAGGACTGCCTCAACTTTTTTAGGCAAGCTCAGCAATCATTTTTCTGTGGGTCCTGCATGACCAGTTTATATAGCATGCAACTAAGCAGTCTAGGTAACAGCAGTTTCTTGCTCAAATGGCTAGCCTTGTCACATTGAAGGCAAATTACATAGAGAGTTTCTTCAGTGTCTATCAACTCTCTGTTCCACCCTGCTTGGCTTTTCCTACATGGCAGAGGTCTGGGAGTCAGGTTTACCACCTCAATTCTCAGAAGAAGTTGGCTTATGCTGCCACCAAGTAATTTGCAGCATGCTTCCCACAAACCCCATTCAAGTGCTCTATGACAGGACCTCCTGAATCCAGAGTCATTTATGCTACCAGTAGGAATCAGGAAGCCATATCTTAACGGAGTCTCACAGCTTTTCCAGCTAACATTGAGTCGGGAAGCCTTCTCTTTAAGGAGCCATTCTTCAGCTCGAATTCAGCAAACAGAGCCTTTTTAAAAATATGTGGCTACCAAGAAGTTCAAGCTGACTTCTGATTTTGTGGGTCTAAATGCCTTTTTAAAAAAAATAAAAAACTTTCTTAGGCTTTATGTGGATATTCTTGCCCCACATTGAGTGCCATTTGTAAGCAAAGACTGTTCTTTCATTTTCTGGCCACCCAGACCCAAATAATCACACAGAACTATTATTAATTACAACACTGCTTGGCCAATGACTAAGCATATTCCTAGTTAGCTCTTATGTCTTAAATCAACCCATTTCTGTTATTTCTATTATTTCATATTTATCACAAGGCTTGTGGTTTGTTACCTATTGTACTTGAGTGGCTACATGGCATCCTCCTGACTTCACCTTCTTTCTCCCTGAATTAAGTTTAGCTTTCCTAGCAACCTATATTTTGTACTGCCATAGACCAAAACAGCTTCTTTATTAACAAATGGTAATAAAACATATTCACATATAGACTAGAAACCCACATCATGGGTATACCAAAGACAGACAATGCTCTAGTATATGTCTCTAAGAAAATGAAACCATTTTTGCTTATTATAACATAAAATATATTACAGGCATAGCACACAATCCTACAGGGCAGGCAGTTATAGAAAGATCAAATCAAACTCCAAAGGATATGCTAAATAAACATAAAGGGATAATAAATACAATCAGAAATAGATAGCATGATGCTTTATTAACTTTGAATTTTCTTTCTAATGAGAAAGAAACAACAGCTGTGGAGCGACATTGGATAGTAGAAAAAACTACAGAATTAAATCAGTCAATATACTTTAAAGATATACTGACCTTGGAATGGAAATCAGGACATGTGTTACTTTGGGGAAGGGTTTTTCTTTTGTTTACACAGGAGAAGAAAAGTTACAGATACCATCAAAATTGAAAAGATTCGATTTGATCAAGAGACACCTCTTAATTAGAAGACATGAGAGATCATCAAACAGCATGGCCACTTAATCTGAACTAACCTATAAAACTAATAAATGCTTTTTTCACTTGACTAGATCTAACTTGCCAAAAGGGAATGTTCCCAATACTAGGGTTGCAGAAGGGTTTTGTTCCTGTCTTTTCAGGAGAATAAAGGTATTCAGCTAAGGAATCTGAAGACCACTGCACAAATGAGACCTCTGAAGAAAAAGGACGGACAAATCATCCAGAAAAAAAAAGTCTCAAGAAAAAGAGTATATTAGCCTATTGGTATACCACATTTCCAGCAGGATAAATTTTTATGAATCTTCCCAAATATTTCTTTCTGTTATTCTTTACAGACATATAATGAAAATGATCTTTTGGTAATCCCAGTCTAATTAAAGATTAAAGCTGGCTTTGGAGTTCACGTGTGGCTTTCCCTCTCTAAACCCATGCATGCTTATTAAAGTGCGGTCCAAAATCTCTGTCTCATGTCAGAAGAGTCTCCTGATAGAAGACAGAAGAAAAAGAAATATTCACAAACTATTTTATATTGCTACTAATCTCATATTCTTTTGGTTTTATTTTAAACTTTTTGTCATGATATAATGGTCATATAGAGTACTAATTTGTTCTAGAAAAAGGTTTCATCTATCTTCCTATACATGACTTTGGGTTTGAGTCTTTGTCAGTTTTCTATAGTGAACCATGAGCATAACTAACAGAGACTTCAGGAACTTCCCAAAAGGAGGATGGGGTCCTGCAATGACGATTCTTCCAGGACTTTGATAACATCACTAAGAAAAAAAAAATCGGCTTTGGACTACAAATTGCTCTGAACAATTTCAAAGTGACTAGCTGAGATGACATAGCCTAACATACTATTCAAGCCAGGACTTGAGACAAGCCCTGCACTTTCCCATTATGCAGAGAATGGACAACAAATGATAAAGCTATCTCTCTCAGGACTTGACAATTAACCAAAAATTTTGTTTCAGTATCTCCTAAAGTTACTGTCATTCACAAACAACAGGAAGTAACTTTAAGAATATGATGCCCACATTCCTAAGAAGTGGGGTAGGTGGTTTTTTGTTGTTCAATGGGTTATGGATATTTGTCATTGTTTAGGGGGACTAGTTACAAGTTGTTATTGGTATTGATAAGAAAAAAAGCTAAACAAAGGACAACTGGATTCAAGGTTTTTGTTTTGAAAAGAAAAAAGGGAGGATTTGATATGATAAGATAAAAGCAACTACTAGTTTTAAAAGTTTACATTGGATTGGAGTTATGTATTTTATATACAAATTTTATATATTGATACAAATTTGAGATTAATTTTGTTAACACAGCCTGTATATGCATTTCTAATCTTGTTCAAGGTGTTGTACCTATATAGCTCATTTAACAATGGAAGGAAAATTTCTAGTCCTTGAAAGTATTATTACTATCTGCTTAGGATAACAAGGAAATGCAGGTAATTAGTCATCTACTACAACTGAACTTGTAGTCACATCAGGTATGTTTTCAAGTTCAAACAGATACATTTTAAATAGGTCATCTTCAAACACTTCAGAGATCTATAGAATATGGCATTTAAGATGTTTTAATAACTGCTGTGGGAGCTCTTTTGACCAATAGCCTTTAAGATATCAGCCCACTTGGGCGTGGTCTCTTATACTATAACTGCAGCTGTAAAGCGTGTGTTCACTCTCTTCTGGCTCTCACTTCCGGCTGCTAGATTCAATTCCTGTTCCCCATTCATGCAGAGGACTGTGATCTAGGACAGGGATCTGTGAATCTCCCCTAAATAAATAACCCTTTATTATATGTAATTCTGAACTAGTGTGGAATTATTTTGTAACTTCCGTCATCATCTGGTACCCGAATGTGCAGACCAGTCCACACTTTATGGGATCAGTTTGCCGGCTGAGTGGTGCATTGGACACTGACTCTCCTGCCCGTGGCCCTAGCTGGCACTCAGATGCAGCAGGCTGCTGCTCAGCACTCCCTAGCTCATGACTGACACGCTGCCACTGGGTGCATTACATGCCGGCCTACAGGCTGCTGCCTGAGATCCTTGTGGCATGTACAGTCCACAACTCACACTGACGGAAAACTTTGGGTTTTCTCTTTACCTTGGGCACCAACTCTTGTAATTGTGTGATCACTTTAGTAGCTGCTCTTAATTTGTTAAACAAAGCATATTTTTCAGTACCTAAGTAAGCAACATGTGCTGTTCATTGCTGCTAGCATTTTTCAGCTACATGGCTGCAACTGTGACACCTGCTGGCCAATAACAATTAGGATACATAATTCAATTGCATTATGACAGGTAAGATCTACAAAACTACAAAAATAACTAATAACATAACTATCTAGGAGTTCAATAATTATTTGCTTATACTATGGAAGGAATTCTGCAAGGCTTATGTGATTTTCCTTCAACATCCCCTTATTTGATTCTAGGAATTAGCTTTGACTTCAATATTATCTCAAAAAATGTTTCAATAACTGGGTCAATAATGAGGCACTTTTAGAGATAATACAGACTTTGCAGGCTAATAATAGACAGCTATTTGAGGAGACCAACACTATGAAGAGGGATAGCATAAACTTGACAAAATTATCTGAAAGAATTTGTGTTGCTGAATTTAACAATTGGAAACTTTAGAAAAGTTATGATAGATTAATGATAAGATATCTCTCCAGGAATGTAATACGCACACAATCAAAATTTGTCCAAGTGGGGGGGGGGCTGGAGAGATGGCCCAGACATTAAGGACACTGACTGTTCTTCGAGAAGTCCCGAGTTCAATTCCCAGCAACCACATGGTGGCTCACAACCATCTAAAATGAGATCTGGTACCCTCTTCTGGCATGCAGGCATACATGGAGGCAGAACACTGTATAGTATATGTAATAAAATCTTTAAAAAATTGTCCAAGGATGAGATGATATCTTTATTGGACAAGTTTCATACCTTGAAATTCTCAGTGAGGGCATTAGAACAAAACACTGGACAGGAGATTCAGACTTTACAAAAGGCAGTAGTAAAAAGATTTGAAAAGATTGAGGAATTTATTGAAATTGATGAGCAGCAACAGAAGGTACAAGGACAGGATTTAGCCTAATCAGTTCATGCCAGATCCCGGGATGACTTACACAATGTTTTAACTGCATATCCAGCAATTTTATTGGAAAGACCATCTGGCACAAAGTACCCTAAGGTAGTCAAAGAATATGCATGGGAACCAACATGGATGAGCAATCTAAAAGAAATAAAAACAAGCAACTGTTTCTTATGGGCTACCCTCACCTTTTTGTCAGGGAAATGGTGAAGATGCAGGCTTTAAGCACTAAGGCTCTCCAAACAACTGGCTTCAATTAATCTCAGCAGTCCTAGAAGATGGACCTCAGGGGCTTTGGAAGTGTTATTTGAAGAAGAGGCAAAAATTTTAGAACAACAGGGGGAAACAAAAGGATTTGAGACTTCCCAGTATCAAATTCTTGGCAAGGGTCATTACTCTAATCCTCAGGAACAAGCTCACTGCGATGAACATAGGGAACCTTGTCCCTATGTAGCACAACAGCTTTAAATGCTTGGGACAGGATTCAGGAACTAGGGAAAAATTGAGTCATATATTAGGGTTAAACAGGGCCAGAGAGAACCCTTTAGTGACTTCTTACAAAGATTAACTAAGGCTATACAAGTAGGAGTGACAGACCCTGAAGCTATACATGTACTTATTGAATCTTTGACTTTTGAAAATGCCAACTTAGAATGTAGGAAGATTCTTGAGCCTTTAAAGGTCAGATCAGCACCTATAGATGAATGGATATTGCCTATAATGAATGTTGAAACATTTGACTATAGCACTGACTGAGGATTGGGTAGGAGAAGTGATTTCCAATGAGGGGAAACCAGAATGCCAAATGTTTTAATTGTGGAAGAATAAGACATCTAAGAAGGGACTGTAGATAAGGAATTCCTAGGAATAATGTCTGCTCTAGGAATGAAAAGGGTAGGAGGACTCAGCCTTCTGGTATATGTAGGAGGTGTGGCAAAGACTGACATGGGACTAATGAATATAGGTCGGCAAGAGACAGACAAGGCAACCTGACACCACTGGGAAACTCCTTGGAGGGCCTCTCACAGGCCCCGATGTCAAACAAGGTCCAGTCATTCCCAGTTATTGTGAACAACATGTCTCACCAGGAAAATTAATCCAGTGCCTATTGTAAAAAACCATACTGTTCTGGATGATGGAATAAACAAGGAGGATGAATCAAAAACTCCAGTAGGAAATAGGAAACATATTTTGGTAGATTTCTATAAGTGGTCTAAGACAAAGCTATAAGTGTTTATAAATGACATTGTAACTGAAGGATGGCTAGACATGGGTATAGCCCGTGAGTATCATTACTCCAGAATCTTGGCATCCAGAATGGCCTCTTCAAGAGCCAGATATTCAATTCCTATGGAATCGGAACCCTATCTCAAGTTAAACAAAGCATGAGGTGGGTTGAATACATAGGGCCAGAAGAATAGAAAGGAAAGCTGAGGCCATATGTAGCTAATATTGTAGTGAATTTATGGGACCATGAGCTATTGCAGAAATGGAATACCCAGGTTAACATTCCCACAGTCCCCAAAACTCATGTTTCTGGGAAGGGTATTATAAGATGATATAAACAAAGGTCACCAGCCATTTCGGCTGTACAAGAAGAAAAAGAAATTAGCAAACCTTCAGAAGTACTAACGATTCTGCCTTTAAAATGGTTAAACTGAGAAACCAATATGGGTTAAACAATGTCCATTATTAGAAAAAAAAACACTGCAGGCTTTAAAACAGCTGATACAGGAGCAACTAGATATTTGCCATATTAAAGATTCAACCAGCCCTTGGAATACTTCTTTATTTGTTGTTGAAAAGAAATCTGGAAAATGGAGAATGGTGATAGATCTAAGGGCTATAAAAAATGTTATTCAACCTATGGGCTCTCTACAATCTGGAATTCCTCTGCCTTCTCTGTTATCAAAGGGATGGCCTCTCAAAGTTATTGATTTAAAGGATTGTTTCTTCACTATACCTTTACAAGAAAAGGACAGAGAAAAGTTTGCCTTCACAGTGCCTACATATAATAATTCTCAGCCTACTAGGAGATATCAATGGACCATTCTCACACAGGGAATGCTCAATAGCCCCACCGTGTGCCAAAACTTTGTCAGT